GTGAGAGCTGGACCATAAAGAAAGCAGACCACTGAAGAATTGATGCCTTTGAATTGTGGTGCTGGAGGAGGCTCTTGAGAGTCCCCTGGACTGCAAGGAGAACAAACCTATCAATTCTAAAGGAAATCAAATTTGAGTGCTCAATGGAAGGACAGATCCTGAAGCTGAGGCTCCAATACTTTGGCCATCTGATGAGAAGAGAAGACTCCTTGGAAAAGACCTTGATGTTAGGAAAGTGTGACGGCAAGAGGAGAAGGGGACGACCGAGGATGAGATGGCTGGACAGTGTCTGCGAAGCAACCAACATGAATTTGACACAACTCCGGGAGGCAGTGGAAGATAAGAGGGGCCTGGCGTACTCTGGTCCATGGGGTCATGAAGAGTCGGACACGACTAAATGACTAAATGACGATGACAAATATTATTTCTCTTAGAAGTAAAAAAAGCCACTTATTTCTTCACTAATTCACATAACAAACACAACTCTGAAATGGTCCAATATATTCCCAAGTACTTCCTTCTCTTAAAATGGGTGAGCATATTTTTAGTAGCCATGTTCTACTTTAGGAAGGGTTATAGGATGGAAGGATACATGGATTCTATCAATGAATAAGGGAAGTGGGGTCAGCAAGAGGAGAATAGGCTGGGCCGGATGTGGCTCCTACCAATCTAGGTTTTTCTACTGTAAGCATTCAAAGCTCAGTTAAATTCCTCTGCGTGTCTAATAAAGAACAAACTCCAGTACAGCTGGGGTTCTACCCAACAAATTCCTGGACTTTTGTTTCTGATCACTAGATAAGGGCAGAAGTAAAGTGCAGACCAGATGGGTATGGCTCAGGGGGCAGAGGTTAACGATCCCTATTTTAAGTCCAAACCTCACCTGGCTCCAAAAGTTGCCATCCTTCATACACTTATTAAGAAGCCACTGGTCGTTGTGGGGATTAACTCTGAGGATTATCCATAAGATTATGGTTTACATTTCTAAAATGAGTTGTTCCTGCTTTCAAGCCACACTTTTGCTTTGGTTTTGTGATTTGGTTATGGCTATAAGTTCATGGTAACGTGATGCTATTTTTATGGCAGCTGTTGGAAAGTACTCTCATTCACCACCATCACCACCACCCCATCCCTGCTTAGAGAAAGGGTCTCGTAGGTTGACCGCTAGGCTGAGCTCTCTCAAGATAAAGACTAAGGCCAGATAAAAGTTTCCCTGGTCTTGCCCCCTCTAATTCCTTGCACAGAGCTCAGTTATACCAAAATGCATGGCAGTTTGTACTTGGGAGGGTCCTATTGGCTTATGGCAATGACATATGTCAGCTCTTACCTCCTTGAAAGGATGTGGTGTTCTGAATCTTTTGGGATGTGTTAATAATTATACAATACCCAAAGCTTCCGGTGTAGATTGCTTGCAAATTCAGGTCATCCAGTCTGCAGTGGAGTGCGTTGAGATGCTGGTGCCAGCCCTGGGTCAAGAGTAGTATTCTGCACAAGACGGTTGCTATATAAGATTTTTACTGCAGCAATTCAGTGTGTAATGTCATCAGTCTGGCTGCAAATGTAGATGTCACTTTTAAGAGAAAGGTAAGGCAGGGTTTGATAACATATCATAGGTGCTGACTGCAGAGAGCAGGTCTGGCAGTACTGTGAAGTGGTTCTGAAAATATATATGCATGGACATATGTACACAGGACCAAATTTCAGAGCCAGTGCCATTTCCCAATCTTGTCATGATAAATACACTCTAAACTGAAGCATAGCAGTCTCTTGCCAGCATTTCCTTTTGTGTGCAAAACGAGCCAAGATCAGCAACAGCAAAGGAATGCTAAAATCCATAATAAAGTATCTTCAAACTGCTAAATACAATGAAACAAAATCTGCACTTGGGCAGCATGTCTAGTAGGGCCACCCAAAATGGCACTAAAGGGTGTAAGCTTTTATGTTCTCCAACCTTTGTGATAAAGTTAGGAGGCATAAAAATTAGAGTGGAAGGAAGGACGAGGAACATGTGATTGTTTTGGCCATGAGGTCTGCAGTTAGAGTCCTTCCCAAGTTGGTCGCTTTTTGGAAGAGGTGTTGCCTTGGCAGATTATGCTCAGTCTAATGGACACATTCTGACGGTGGCCTAGGAATATATTCAGATATTGGCAGAGTGTGGATCAACCCATGCATAATTACCAAGAATGCAGCAGCTGCATCTTGGAAAACAACGGTTCCTCCTCACCTTCACAAGTAATGCTCCATTTGAGCTCAGGCCACCAAAATACAGGGCTGCTATTATGTAAACTGCCATCAGCAAACAGCAGCTGTAAACCAGGTCCTGCTTGGCTAATGACTTTGTAAGAGATGCTGGAGCCAGCCTCTGTGTATGGAGCAGAGGTTGGGAAACATACTGTTTTGGACTCCACTCTCAGAATCTCTCAGCCACCAAGTCCTTGCCTAATGGCCAAAAAGAAAACTTTGCCAAGTTTTACTGTGGAAAAAAATATATATATCAGGGGATATTTGAATCAGTCCTGTCTTCTCACCACTTTCAACAATGGTCAAGAGCAAAAGTCACTTTATTCCAAAGCTCTACTTGTGTAGTCATATTTTTCCGAATCTTGGCTTTAGAGTTAATATTTTTAGAGTTCATGATTTGCAAAAAAATAAAGAAAGACAGGGAGGCTGTAACAAGCTCAGTATTCTGGGGAAAAGAGGAAAACCTTTACAAAAACATTTCAATTCACATGATTTCAGAGGGCTACAGATGCATTTTTTTAAGCCATGCCAAGTATTATATATAAAAAGAAAGTTTGAAATTTGTATCTCCTACCACTTGTGGCACATTGGGCTATGCACGTGGAAAAGCTGAAATTCTTAAAAGGAAACCAGGAGGCTTCTAGGACCCAGAAGCTGAGATGCTTTCCAAGCTTCAGGCTGCCTCTTACCCTTCACTGCAGTAGATCTGTGCATCAGCTACAGTGGACAAGAAGCAACAGAGAGGTACCCAGTATGCTAGAAACCTGCACAAGGGAAGGTATGAACTGATGCTTGGTACAAAACGAAGGGGAGGAGGGCCAGTTGCAGCTAGGAGAGAGCATGCAGCTTCCCAGGGGTAGGGTCTTGCCAGTGCTTTCCTGTCATTCAGGTTGTGTGTGTGTGTGTGTGTTTTTATTGATTGATTGATTGATCAGAGAAAGGCACACAGCGATTCCATTTTCCTAAAGAAGCTGAAATGGACATGAAGATGAGCACTGGAGATTGGAATGACAGAGCTTAGTAAACCATTTTATCTTAAAGATTGAGAGGAATGAGTGTCTGAGCTCCGTAGGGAGGATCCCTTTGCCTTTAAAGCTTAGGAGCTAATTTACTAGCAGCAGGGCAAAGGAATGGGCAGGAGTAGCCTAGATTTCCTTTTCTGCCTTCAAGATCTTTAAGTGTTCTTCCTTCCAACATCATCTGAGGCCTACTGGTAGGATGTCGGCTCTCTAAGCCTTGTACAGGTGAAAAGCCCAAGGTGAAGTTTCTACTTTAGCAGCCAGTGGATGCTAGCAGTAGCACTGGATAAAGGCAGGAGGCATGCCTTTGTATTTTGATGTGGGCATGGAGCAGCAGAAGAAAGTAAAAGTCCAGCTGTGCTTAGGGCTCTTTGTCTTGTAAGATGGGAAGCAGCACAGTGGAAATCCATGTGATCTGGGGTTGGGAAGGAGGGTGTGTGCCAGTGGGTGTCTCTTGTAGAGAGGTTGGATCCTGTTTACCTGCCTGCACAAGCAGGAAGATGGCCAGGTGAAGAATGGCAGAAATGAGGGAGATTCTGAAGCTATAGCACCTGGAACAAGGAGTGTATACTTGGGGAAAGGAGGGAAATCCACTGTGTTTGACTATGAGATGGAAAACAACACTTCAAGAAGAGGCAGCAGTTTTGTTGTTGTTTTAAATGAAAAATCATCTGGCAATCGTAACAGCAAGGCAAGGTGGCCATGAGTAGACATGAGTTGCAATGGGGCAGAGTTTCTTTTTTCCATCATCATCTGATCAGGGCAGAGGAGATAATCACAGCTTCCATTCCTCTTTGCTCCATAGAAAGCAGCTAGCAGAATGTGAGTCGAGGAGCAAGAGACGAGGAAAGGGAACAAAGCATCTCCCATACTTGTCCTGCTTGAGCGTCCAACTAAGGTTCTGTCCCACAAGTGGCCATTGTCATGGTGGAATGCTTCACAGGAGCACTGGCTGAGCTGTGCTGGCAGGTGTCCTTTCTTGTTCAGTGGCACTCCTAGGCATGGCCTTCTTTCAGCCATTGTGCCAAGGTGGGTGTAAGAGAGCCAAGTAGAGTACAGTTGCAGTTGCTAACACTGTTGGCCTGGTCTCCAAAACTACTTTCACCAGACAAGTTTGTTTTTTAAAAAAACTTTTCTCCCAGCTCTGGGTTTCAAGCATATCTGTTGAATTGGTGTGCAGAAGGAAGGTATCCTGGGCTGTAACAAGGTGCTTCTGAATGGAAGATCAGCCAGTCAACTGTTCTTTGCATTTATGCTGCCCAGGATGGTAAGTCATGCAAACTGAAGTTCCTTAAATACCAAGATGGGCCAAAGGGAAACACCATATGCACAAGGAAATCTGTGCAGTAGAACAGAATGTAATTAAAGCTTCTCATTACCTGCTGAGCAAGAGATACCTGTTGTCATAGTAGTTTGTAGTTTGTAATTTTTGTCTGCTAACTGAGGATATGGAAGGAGCCTCCCTGAAGAATGGGAGGATTGTGAACACATTCAGGCATGCGCTGGGCAATGACTGGGACCTATCAGCTAATCTTTCCACTCCAGAAGCAGCAGTAAATTGCTTCTGACACAAATAAAGGAAAAGAAGTCTGCTAACCATAGACAACCCCTCCATCTCTATGTCCTGCTCCGATACTAATACTGTATAATGGTGCCTCGCAAGACAAATACCTCACAGGACAAAAAAGCCGCAATGGTTTTGGCAATGGGGTTGATGACTTGCAAGACAAATGTTCCTATGGCCGTGCTTCGCAAGATGAATATTTTCCATTTTTTGTTCCTGCCTCATGTTTGCTGATTTTTAAATGTTTTTCTATGATATTTAAACAGTTAATTTTTTGATTGCATTTTTTAAAATCATCTGCACAACTTAAACCCTTTGTAAACCAAATTTGACTTCGTTCTGACTTTTTTTGCCCATAGGAACACATTAATTAGATTTCAATGCATTCCTATGGGAAAACACGTTTCGCAAGATGAATTTTTCGCAAGACAGCATTAACCGCGGAATGAATTAAATTCGTCTTGTGAGGCACCACTGTATAATGGACGTCTATGCTGTAGTGCCATCACACTATCTATAGAATGTGACTCAACAGCAGATGTTTTAATAGGAGTACAGTGGTGCCTCAACTTACGGACTTAATTGGTTCCGGAACTCCAGTCGTAACTCGAAATGGTTGTAGGTTGAAGCACCATTTTCCATAGGAATGCATTGAAATGCAATTAATCTGTTCTGGCTGAAGAAAAAAATCAAACCCCCCCCCCCACAAATCATTACATTTATATCTTCCATTTCCATTAGAATCAAGGCTTCCATTGGTGGAAACAAGGGAATATAAGATTAAACACAACTTTGCAATTAAATCATAAAGCTGCACTTCCAGATATTGGAACTCCTTCTAAGGGAAGTGAGGCTTGCCCTATTGCCCTTCTGCCAGCCCATGAAGCCTTTTCAATTCAGTCAGGCTTTCAGAAATGTGTCTGTTTAGGATGGCAGCAGCAAAGTGTTTTGCTGGTTTTCCTACATTTTAAATGTGATTTGTTATTACTATTTTCACTGAAGCGTTTTAAACTGTATTGGCCTAACTATCTTTTAATATTATGACTGGCTGATTTTTTTTTTGGTAGTGCTAATAATTTTAAAGTGTTGCTAACTTTAATTTTAACTGTTTTATAAACCATCTTGGGATCCAGTCTTGGCCTGTTAAACAAACAAACACACAACACAGTTAAAGGATGTCCTGAAGGGACTGCTAGTATCCATGGTTAATCTTTCAGTACATAGGAGGAAGACTGCTGCTTGGTGATACAATGGTTGAAATCCAGTGGTAAGTAGCAACTAGAGTCAGCCCACTGAAGGACTGCTGCTTGGTGAAATCCAGTAGTAAGTAGCAACTAGAGTCAGCCCACTGAATCTGGGGACATGGTGCACAAATTCCTCTAAGTTCCATTGATTCAATGGCCTCTTTTAGTTATGACTTACTACTGAATTTCAGTCAGGATGTGCTTTTTATCCATGAGGTTCTAGGGTCTACCCCTGCCATCCACATTAAAAAGGTTAAAGTAACAGCTGATGGGAAAGGCTTCTGTTGAAGTCCTTGGAAAGTTGACACTGGACTCAATGGACAAGCAAGCTGATCTTGTATAATATAGTTTTTGAACTCTGAAAAGTTTGGGTTACAATTTCCAGTTGACATGGGAGTTGTAGTCAAAAAAGCAGTTTTTCAGAGCCCAGGACAGCTTTTTTCTTGATAGATAAGAAATTGACATCACTGATGTATTTGAAACACCAGTGTGTGTTTTTTCTCAGCCACTATCATTTAGTAGCTATCCTTTGGCAATTGTAAACATTGTTTTCATACAGCTACAATAACTATGAAATGCCAAAACTTCCCAATGTTCTTCCATATAAATATTTTTCTCAGGTGCTATATTTTTTCTGATCATATGACATCCAATGTCACTCAGAGTTCTTCCAGACAAACATTGTCTTCCATACATTATCTGTTTGTGTGCTGATGAGATCAGTTCTTTTTCTGCTGGTGAACTAGGTTCACCTTGTTTCGGTTAGTACAGTGACAAAATCCAAGTCTTCCCATGTTTTTAGCCTCTCCTGCAAGACAAGGCTTACTTTAAAACTTATTTTGTTCAAGTAGGAGGCATTCTTCCCCATTCATTTCCCCAGTCAGAGCTTCCTAGCTGGAAGCTATCAATTAGGTTTTTCACCAATTAGGTATTAAAAGAAAACAAAATCTTGAGAAGCTCCAGGGAATTGTGGGTTCTTAAACTTTTTTAAAAAGCAGTGACTGAAAGCTCATTTCTATGATCAGAATCCTTCTTAGAAGCTTTGTTCCCAAGATAATCTCTCAGCGGGGAAGAGAGTTTTTAAACATTTTTCAAGAGTTCAAGTGGGGTTTTCTTGGAGAGAAGACATTTTCAGTTAAATTACCTTTAGAAGTTCAGTTCAGATATGAATCCTGGTAAGCGTTGTGCTTCTTTGTGGAGAAGTGATACAAAGGAATACCTGGAATCTTTGCCCTGCCTGGAAAAGATCTATATAAATATCTAATCTGTTGCAACTTTGTACTGTTTGGCCAATTCAAACAAACAAAAAAATACCTTTACCAGACATCTTCTTCTAAATAGTGTGATTTTTCCGTCAGGAGGGTAAACAAACAAATGCAGGATCTTACTGCAGTTAAAGGATTTCCCTGAACTGTATACATGTACTGTATTCCACTTTTTTACCAGGCATTGTTGCAGCTTTCTGGGGGCATTGATTTTAAATGTGTATCCACATGAAATAATTTAAATAGTTTTTAAAATTCCTTCTCCCTAGAACTGTGAGAAAGCATGAGCAATTTTCTTAAAGGAAGGCAAGGATGTTTAACTTTGAGTCTGAAAGAAATAGAAAATTGCTGAAAAAATATGGAGGTAGCTTGAAGTTTTTGTATAGGCCATTAAAGCACAGAAGTTCTGTACCATCAAACCTCTCCATCTAACCAGGTTGTTAACAACAAGGCAAGCTAAAACAGCCTGCCAAATTTAAGTAATATCCATCAGACAGAAAAAAGGAAAATGTTTTCTAAAACCCATGGTTGAAATAGAGTTGTATGATATTTATCATGATCACATAAAAAATAAAATGGAAAATGCAGTGCAGTTGAATCAGACCTAGATAGTGGCGTGAAAATAATTTTAAACACAGATTACTTAACTATAACAAAAAGTGTCATAAGAAAAATGCCAAACCTTCCAGTAACTAGTTCATTTTAAAGATACAACATGCATGGAAATGTGGCTCAAAAATTAATGTACTGTGTGGACTTTGTTAGTGTTGAGGTCACATGCAATGGAGAAAGAAACCCTAAATGTGGGGAACACCACTGAGAAGTCCCTGTCTCTCATGCTTGCCAGTCAAACTAAACCTACGGCTGAAATTACAGGGCCTCTGAGGTGGATCTTAATACCTGCCCATGTTTATATAAATAGACATGATCCTTCAAGAACCCTGGCGCCAAATAAAAATCTATTTTTTGCGAGGATAAAATGTATCCAGTGTCATATCATCATTTTGTTGTGTAGGAAGAAAGTTCTAAATATTTTGTTGAAATAAAAATAATCCACATTATTTTTCTAAAAATTCTACAGTGGGCCCTGAAACTACTGTGTGTTGCACGGGGGAACTTCCAAGAACAGCACCAGAAATGCTGTGCAAGTTATTTTAGGATGGCATTGTTAAAGTGCTATATTGTAAAAGCAATTAATGTACCATGAAGGTTTCATGTGCAAAAAAAGTATAAAAATCAATTGAGTTTGGGATAAACTGCTGTTATGGTCATGTATAGGAAATAATGACTACATTGTACTACCAGCTAAAGTGAATTACCCTTTGGTATCTCATTGGCATGAAGAAGTTGCCAAGTAACCATCTGTTATAGATACAGCAGCCTCATTTTCCCTGAAGCCTTTTGAAAGCCTGACTATAGGGTCACCTCAAATCACTGTTTTTATTAGCATGGGTTAGTCATTTTATTACTAATGCAGTACTTACAAACAAAGGTATATTTCCCACATTGATGAAATGAATGCAAGACCTACATCAGCCAAAATATGTAGCCTGACTAAAATTTGCTTTCTTTGGTTTTGTTTTCCACATTAGCAGTATTCACACAGGAACACACAAAGGGTGACGGAGTCAGTGATAGGAGAGATGAATCTTTTGAATCCATTTTCTGTGAGATGCTCTGGTTCTGAGTTGTCGGATAACTGATAAAACTGAGACTAGGGCATGGGCTGGTCCCAGAGTCATCTTAAACCACTTCCATCAGCCTCAAAAGAAAGTGGACACCTTAGCAGCCTTGTGCCTCAGCATGTTCTGATGTTGTATAGTGCAGTCATTTCTCTGAGAGCTAAGTCTTGGATACTTTGTGCCAGTCCTTATAGGTCCTTTACTTTAGGTTCCAACATCTTTTGCTCTAAGGATCTACAATGAAATATTTTTCTGAGGATGAAGAAGGGCTCCTTTATGGTCAATCAGATCCGGTCAGAGCACTGTTTTATTGTGGCCTAAATTCAGTTGCTACCCAGTTAATATCAACTAGAGTTGATCTTCTGGTCTGATTGTTGAAAGTCAATACTTCTAATTCAGTGAATATGTTCTAGCTGGTATTAACAATTGTCTTTAGGCTGATGAATAGAACATTCCCATTATTTCTTAATATTTAGAGCTTTGAAAGTCAGTAGTTGCTGTTGTAGTTCCCAGGCCCAGGATGTAGATAGCATTTTAAATTTTTGAATATGGAAATGCTTTATTTCCCCATTTTTAGAAGCACCCAAGATGGTTATTTAAAATTGACAACAGCAACAACAATATCCAGAAGCGGCCCCAGCTCTGTAGCTGCCCTGGATGAGAAGCAAAGCACTGTACCTCACATTTGGTCCTTACCCCTCTGTACAACACTCACATATGTTCAAGAAAAGGAAGAGCAATTCCTTCAATTGGTGCTGTCACCTCCATTTCACAGTGCCTGGCCACCAAAGTCAATCTGCCTAGCTATGGGGTTCTCAAAGCCAAGGCACTGTGTGTGTGGAGGTAGCTTTAAAAAATGCATACATTGACAGAAGCAACAACAACAACAACACAAGCCACTGTTCCTTTGCAACTTTATGCTGAGGGTCCCACTGGAATTAGTCATTATCCAGATAGCTTACCTGCTTCCTAAAGTGGTCAGATGCTTTGAAGTGAAGGCGTTGCCATCTCCAGTGCTCAGCCAGCTGAGAAAGTTGCTACAGCTTCTTCAGTGGCCAAGCGAGTTCTGATAAGATCTGCCTGTTTTTCCTGCAGAAGTAAAGGGCGGAAGCCAACAGGTGAACCATGTGATAGTTTTCCACCATCAAGTGAAAGTTAAAAAGTCAAAGGAGTGATCTTATCCCTCATCCAGTTACTGCAGCGTTGTGTTGTGTTTATGTCTTAGTTATGGAGAATGTGAATTGGTTGCAGATAACTGGTTACTGCTAGACTCTGTTCAAACTGCTTATGATAGCAGATGTGTGCAATTGCTGTGCCGACAGTCAGGCTATCTAGATTGCCTCTCTTTTTAAACAAAAAATTGCTGTTGGGTTGTATTTTCAGGAGAGATGGAGCCATAGATCTCAGAGGGGAAGCTTCCTGCATTTGAGAGAAGGTGGGTGAATACTCTCAGAACAAAACTGAAAAGCCAGTGACTGAATATTTGGAAAAGACTTTTCAAATGAGGCCAGAAACAGCCATTGTAGACACAGGTTATTGCTGGTGAACTGTGACTAAGGGATTCTTCTATGTTTGAGAACTCAGAGTTCTAGGACCCATTTTCTCTAATTTTGGGGCCAAAACCTGAGGTGTAGAAGCGGGACCCCGTGATTTCTTGGGGCCCATTCAGTAAACAGAGCAAAATATTCCCCATGGGATGGTCAGATAATGCAGAGACACAAGGATGAATTCAAAGGCCCATTAGGTAGGCGGCCAAGAATTTGTTGTGACAGATGCATAGGCTGAAGTTGCAAGACACTGTGGGAAGCAAGCACATTACTAAAAAGGCAAAGGAACACTGTTTTTAAACCAGACGGAGGTGGGAAAAGAGTGAATCTGTATCTGCAGGTCAATCTCTTGGTGATCTGCAGCAGGAACCAACAAAAAAAGCACCAGATCAGGGTTGTCCCTCATTCTCTCAGATTTCAGGCCAGTGTCTGTGAACTGGAAAATGCACCTCACCACCAGAATTTCAGGATCAGAGCCTGTGACCTGGCAACTCTTGCTGCCTGGTGTTAATATTTTTTTTTTAAAAAAGGGAAATTGCCAGGTGCTTCTCTGGAGCTCTGCTGGAGGCACCCCCTGTAGAGCCTAACAGATAGCGACACTACAGTTCTCAGGAAACACTATGGCACAGGAATTTTTTATTGCATTTACTACAACAAGCAAGGTCAGAGAAGGCCATACAGCCTCGGAAGTAGATTTCTCTCCAGGTGAGCAAAACGTAGTTGTCTGTAGGTATGTGTCTATGTGCTGAAATTCTCAGAATTCTGCCTGGAGAATTCATGGTGAATCCTGGGATTTTGAGCCCCCCAAAAAGGAAAAAAAAAACACACTCCCATTCTTTACTATTTAATGGATTTTGGAAAATTGGAGGCAGGACTATAATTCCCAGAATTCCAGAGCCAGTATGTTTATTGCACACCAGCATGGCCCTTACTCTGAGATTCTGGTAGCTATAATCCAAAACAGCGAACTTCCCATGACCTATTATTTAGTGATTGAATCAGAGTAACAATAAATGCAGGTTAATTACTGAAATGCTGTTGCACAACTCCACCTGCACAATGGGAATGTTGTCATTGGTAGCAGCTAATTTCCACTGAATAAGTTCTCTCCCTCCCTCCCTCCTTCTCTCTCTCTCGCTCTCTCGCTCTCTTTCTCTCTCTCTCTCGGCAATTTCAGGGTGTCTAATAACTGTTCAAAAGCTGCATCCACCCCAAAATTGCAAAAGAAAGCCTTAAACAGGGGGAAACTCTTGCTGCCAATGACATCATTCTGATTGTGCAAGTGGACTCTGCCAAACAGAATATCTTTGACCAATATCTTTAGGAAATATCTCAGGGGTTTGACCAATATAGTGATTAACCAATCAGTATGTTTTCTTGTAGAAGATACCATTTGTTTGGGGAAAAGTGTGAAGAAACACAGTGAGGATCTGTACAGTTAAGAAGGAAGGAACTCTTCTTCAGAACCACAACAGATCTCGTTATCTTTTTATATCACTATGCTGTTATATGAAGTACCGGGAAGATAAGACGAAAACAATCATGCTTAGTATGGTCCACCAGGGAATAATGGCTTATAGAACTGAATGACATTAGAAAGACTTGTTGGTCTGTTCAAGAGTCCTTTTTAAAACTAACAAAGAAGACAGCAAGAATGTCACTCCAGGGTCCAGGACTGCTCCTTCTGTGCTACCACTGTTGATTCTCTGTGATTACTCAGTAGGAACCTAGAATAGGATGGGTGATGGACTTATGAAGGGAGGTGATAGTCTCCATGGAGTGGCTGCAGAATCCTGGCCGGGTAAGAAAGCTCCTGCAGACATCCCAGAGCTCTGTGCTTTTCAATTCCAGCCTGGATACCAAACCCAGAAATGTGACATCTGAATCTGTGGGCCTCTTCTTCATGCTTTTGATTGACTTGACAGCCATCATAGGCAATGTAGCCATTATGACCGTCATCATCAAGACGCCTGCATTGAGAAAGTTTGTCTTTGTGTTCCACCTTTGCCTGGTGGATCTCCTGGCAGCTGTCACTCTAATGCCTCTGGCTATGCTGTCCAGCTCAACCTTCTTTGATGGCACCGTCTTTGGGGATGCCATATGCCGCACTTACCTGTTCCTGAGTGTCTGCTTCATCACCATGTGCATCCTTTCTGTTTCAGCCATTAATGTAGAACGTTACTACTATGTGGTGCATCCCATGCGCTATGAAGTGAAAATGACCATAGGCCTAGTGGTCTGTGTCCTGGTTGGTGTCTGGATCAAGGCAGTAGTAATGTCCATCATCCCCATTCTTGGATGGCTTTCCCAAGATCATGGCAGTAGCCCCTCAGCGTACCATGAACAGAGCTGCACCTTGCAATGGAGTCGGAGTGCCTACTGCAAATTTTTTGTGGTTTTCTTCGCTATTTTCTACTTCCTCTTGCCTGTCTCCATTATCCTGGTGGTCTACTGCAGTATGTTCAAAGTGGCCAGAGTAGCTGCCATGCACCATGGTCCCCACCCTACTTGGATGGATACGCCACGGCAGAGGTCAGAATCCCTTAGCAGTAGATCTACTATGGTGACTAGCTCAGGAGCCCCCCGGACTACCCCCCAGAGGACGTTTGGGGGTGGAAAAGCTGTCCTCATCCTCGTTGCTGTGGGAGGACAATTTCTCTTTTGCTGGCTGCCCTATTTCTCCTTTCATCTCTATTCTGCACTGAGCCCCAATTTCCCTGGTCAGCAGACTGAGAATGTGGTTACTTGGATTGGCTACTTCTCCTTCACTTCCAACCCTTTCTTCTATGGATGCCTCAATCGTCAGATCAGAGGGGAGCTTAGCAAACACCTCACCTGTTTCTTCAAGCAGCCGCCAGAAGAGGACCTCAGGTTACCAAGCAGAGAAGGCTCCATTGAGGAGAACTTCCTGCAGTTTTTGCAAGGGACCGGTTGCAGTGCCGAGGCCAGAAATAATCTTTCCCACTCTAGTCCCCAAAGAGACCAAACAACCATTGACTTCCGTATCCCAGGACAAATTGCAGAAGAGACCTCAGAGTTCCTGGACCAGCATATGAACACTGACATTACTGTCTCAGACAGCTACATCCGGGCAGCCCATTTACCCAAGCCAGAGCTGTAGCTGGGTTGGGTTTTTCCTTTTTCTTTTTTGCACCTGACAATCCAGTTTTATTGGTGTGTGAAATAATGCAGAAATTAACAGCTGAGGGAGTTGTGGAGGGAGGGGGGGATGAGTATTTAATAAACACAACCATGGGCAATTGGAACCATATCTGTCCAATTCACTACTCAAGCCAAGAAATAACTACTGTACTAGTATCCGAGTCATTTCATTCAGTTTTGACCAGTGTGGGAGGTAATTGCTCCCATCCCCATTTCCACTTATTTTCAAGGTCTTCGGTTAAAATCAGCCTAATATTTTTAAACTTCCTTTGCCAGTTTCCTACGTTTTATAGGTATTTGCTACCTTTTAATTATTGTTATCATCTGTGGTGAATTTCTCTTCATGGGATGGCAAGCCCATCAAAAGGACGATGGACCAAGCAATGGTCCATCCCTCATACAGCATCTCTTAGTGCTCTTTGGCTTTTAGAGTTTGAGCATGTCTATCCATTTTTGGACCAGGTGTGACTGAGCTACAGGAGGACCCAGGACAGAGGCTGGAAAAATCACTCTTCAGATTACAAATTTCAGAATCCTCTAACCCGCATTGGCCATGGGAGCACCAGTTTAAAAAAAGCAACAGACTGAAGCTCTGGTCTGGGTGAAGGGGAAGTAGTCATTGAGGCACAACCGCCTTTATGCTGTAAGGGCAGGTCTTAAAGAGCCACGGTCTAGATCTAATTGTTAGTCAAAACCACAGTGGACCCACTGAATGAATGGGATATGGTAATTCAAGGCAACTGTAAGCTCCATTGATTAAATGGGTTTACTCCAATGAAGAGTATGAGCAGAGCTGTAACTAGGAATTTTAGGTGGGGAATGTGTGTCCCTCTAGATGTTGTTCGGCTGTCATGTCCAATATCCTTCACCATTCACTCTGCTGGCTAGGGCTGATAGAACTGCAGTCCAAATACATCCAGAGAATAGGAAAGGCACTCAAGAGACAGGTTTTGCCCCTCTCCTACACCCAATTACTTTCAGTCAGTAAAAATGCCGCTAAATCCTCTAAGGGGCCTAATCTATTGACTTTAGTCATTCAAAAATGTACAGGCCCTTGCAGAGCAATGGCGGTAGTGGCAGAGATGCAGTGGGTCTTTGTTCATGAAGTTCTCAGAAATACATTTGCTCTTAGCATCCAGATCCTACCTCACCCAACTTCCAGCACATTTGTACAGACACAAAAAGCATACCGCTGTATCAGGATTGGGTAACTTTTCACTCACTGTTGTTTGAACTTCAACCCTCAGAAGCCCTTGCTTCTGTTGGTATCAAGGAGTTAGTAGCAAAGAATTGCAGTCCAAAATATTTGGAGAGCTCAACACCCATCCTTAGATGTGTTTGACTTTGATGTTCCAGTTAGATTTATGGCAAAAGCATAAATGTAATCCCTGATGGCCTCATAGCTCCTGTGCCTTCACAGCTACCCAGAGCTACATCTCCCTTTCCTGTTGCCTTGCAACAGTCTATTAAAAGAGGAACCAAGGGTGGGAAGTGAGTTGAGTTACCCATGGTGAACATTCATCCTGCTTCCATGAATCCAATCCTGCTACAACCTCCGCAGTTGCTCCATGATGCCTCCTCCCTATGAGGACTGCACAGCTTCCCTCACAGTGCTTCCAGATTAAGGCATCTGTAGATAACCAGTATGCTCACGGATGCTGTCATTTCTGTAAATCAGAAAGTGGCACAGCAACCTCGCTACAAAAGCATTAACAGAGACTGGAATACACAACTTTTTGGCCTATAGCTTCCAGAATTCCCCAGCCAATATGAATGGTGGATGCTGGCTCAGAGATTCTGGAGATATAGCCCCAAATCCTAGTTTTTCTAAGATGTGAGCTGTAGTGACTCCCAACTTGTTTGCCCATTGGTACCTTTTCAAACTGGTGCAGGTTTAGTCTCACTCTATTTTAGAATAAGATTAGAAAACATGCTCAGATTACACAATACTTCAAAATTTATTTCATCCAGTGTTTCCCCCTTCCTCAGGTTACCTGTTCTCTTATGCTTGTCAACTGAAGAAAGCTAGGTAGGGGAGGAAAATGGGTTTTTGTTAGTCTTCTGCTGGTAAATCTTTTTTCCCCACAATTTAATACCAAGAACTCTTAAAATGGAAACACTTTAACCAGTGATAAACTGGAGAAAGTGTGTTTGCTGTAAGTTAGCTGCAAATAGGCACAACCCTGCTAGTAACACACACTTAAATTGTAACACTTTTTTCTTTGTTTTAATCCAGTTACATACTGTTGCCATGCACATGTCAATGGTTAGACATAATGTCATATGATGGGGACACAGAATCGTAGAAAAACAAGAGTTGGAAGGGGCCTATAAGGCTATGAAGTCTAATAACTGTTCAATACAAGAATCCAAATCAAAGTAAATCTGACATATTGGTTGTCTAAATTTCTTTTGAATATCTCCAGTGTAGGAACACTCACTACCTCCATAAGTGGTTCCATTGTTGTAATGTTCTAACAGTCAGGATGTTTTTTCCTGATATTCATCCAAAATCTAGCTTAATCAGAGATGGGGAAAGTTGCTTTTGGGGACTACAGCTCCAAAATGTGGCCATGTTGACTGGGGTGTTAGGCAGTTGTCATGAAAACAAAACGACACAATTCCTATAGCTACTCTGGTTCCAGTGCTTTTGAGCCATGGATCAACAACAATTTTGTGTAATGTAGGTGTGAGACATCTTATTTACCTCCAGATGTAATCTTCTGAGGTTGGAAGAAGTGAGCTTTCCCATTTTAGCCACTATAAGCAGAATTGCTAGCAACTCTCAGGGCATGTGGAGATGGGGGTAACAACCACACCCAAAGTTTGCAAGGTCTAAAGATGTTCTGTGCCTCTCTCGTAGCCACCCTACAATGTGAGGTAATCAAGAACAGTTGGAGTACTTTGATGACCTACCCCCCACACAACCTCACAAAACTTCTGCATGGATGTGATTGTACTGTGAGAGACGACATCTTGCTTTCTAGTAAATAATCTGTTATTTTGTTTCTTTTCCCAAAGACTCTGCATTCTTGACTTCCATTTTCTAAAAAAGTCATTTCAGTTTTTTTAATGCAGCCTTGGCAGATGTTGCATCAGAAACGTAACAGGCAGCCCCACAAGTTGCCCAGAAAGCTACTGGATGGAGCAGTCAAGAATCAGCTGGCTTCTCCACCTTGCACAGCTTCCTGACTTGGCCTGCTTTATTTACCTTCCCCTTCCTTTCATTCTGTTTCCATATGCCTGAAAAAGGGGTTGCTTCCACAAAAGCTTACATTAAAATTTAACAGTTAGTCTTTAAGGTGCTACATGTTTTTGTCTTGTCTTGTTTTGTTTCTTTGGATTTTGCTTGATATGCTTCCCTTCCCTTTGCTTGTCTTCTATCTCAATGGCAAAAGTGACATGTTGATTTTCTTTTTCTGTGCAATCCAGCACAGTTCATAATTGGTATAGTGGAGAATGGGGTGATGTAGAGGAGAATCCAAAATATTGCAAACAGAAAACTACACAAAAGATTAAATATTATGCTAATCTATTCAATTTTCAGAATGTGTTCTCTCTCCAGTATTTGAAGGGAGGGGGGAGTCTCAATATTGGATTTATTTTCAGGTGGAATTTTAGCCTAAGATGGAAGTGAGCTCTTGCCAGTCATAACACTCCTGGTCTGATGGGACCCACTTTTGATCCAGTCCTCTCTGTGCCTTGCCAACAGAAATTTTGTTCTGTGTTGACTTCCCCTCTGATGAACTTTATATGATGCATAAATATACACAGAGACATTTGGAGGGGAAAAATCAATTCCTTCTGAGGGAAACTGAGGGAGAGCTAATTCAGAACAAGATTTCCACTGGTGTGACACAGAATGAACACAAAATATATACCTTTTTTGATGAGTTCACTTTGCAAGATCAAGAGGGAGTTTCTATGTAGGACAGTTGAAAGCCAGAGCAACAACAAAGTAATTATTTATTATGAAATGTGCTCCCTGCCTGCATGTGAACAATAGGCTCTCAAATTAAATCAAATGCTCCAGCTAATAAGAAAGTGGTCATCCCAATCACATTGTCCGTGTCTGATGTTGTGTCCTCAGCAGCCTGCTTTGAAAATGGGAAGGTACCTGTGTTTTTTTTAATCAATTGCCTGCAGAGTGATAGTCCAAAAGAAATTATTTTTTTCTCTGTTGCCTTTTGTGCTTGCAACCTGTTTCCCCCCAAGTTGTAGTAGCCTGTAGGAAAATTGTACAGTACTGGGCACAGTAGGAGGTTGAGTGCATGGGTTTGGAGTGTGTGTGTGTCCCTGTTCTTGTTGTTCTTGTTGTTTTATTGCTCTGCAGCAGCCTGAGCATGTATCCTGCAAAGAGCCTGTTCTTTCTCTCTCTTTCTTGTTTAGAACAACTTTTGGTGTTTTGCAGTCATATCAGTTGAACCACAGCAAAGAAAAGATGGTACACTGAAGTGCAGACCTAGGATCCAGACAGGAGGGGGGGGGGAAGTCCACGTGAAGTAGAAGCAGGTCCCACTGAGTTCAATGCGACTTACTCTCAAGTAGATGTTTCTGGGCAGAAACAGATGCTACAACTAGTCAGTGATAAGAGCAGAAAACAATTTAGTATTGGAGAGACATGATTAAGGCAGCCTTCTGCATTTGATAAATTAGACTTCGAAGAAATCTCTATTTCTGCCTTGAAGATCAATAGCAAAAATACACAAGATAATCTGTAAATTATCATGCGGTGAGAAAACCTCCAACTCTGTAGTCAGACATCACCAGCTGTCAGGGATTTCCTTCTTCTAAATTCTTGCTATCTGTAAAGTTTGTTCCTGCCTTAAGAGTGCAACGTGAGGCTTGGATTCCCCCACTTATTGTATCTTAAGGTTCCCCTTGACATTTTAGTCAGTTGTGTTCAACTCTAGGGGGCAGTGCTCATCCCTGTTTCCAAGCGGTAGAGCCAGTGTTTGTCCGAAGACAGTCTCCGTTGTCACGTGGCCAGCGCGGCTATACATGGAATGCTGTTTACCTTCCCATCGAGGTGGTACCTATTTATCTACTCGCATTTTTACATGCTTTCGAACTGCTAGGTTGGCGAGGAGCTGGGACAAAGCAACGGGAGCTCACTCCATCACGT